AGAGAGATTGGGAAGGGGAGAGAGAGAAGAACATTGATCTAAGAGAGATACATTGCTCCCGCACAACCCCGACTAAGGCCGGGAACGAACCGCAACCAAGGCACATACATGCCCTTGACCAGAATCAAACCCGTGACTCTTTGGTCTGTGGGCTGACACTCTAACTGCTGAGCCAAACTGGCCAGGGTGAGGGCAGTTTTTTTTTTATGAAAGAAATTTTACTTGATTTGTTAAGGAATCTCTATTTCTGACTTCTGCTCATGATGGAGGCGGAGAAACCAGGACCAACTCTATCCTCATCACTGAAAAAAACAAGAAAACTAGGTAATAAAATGAGAAACAATGGTTTTAAGACAGTGATCACCAGGAGGTGAATGACAATGATCCCTGAGAGAGAGTGAACAAATTAGGCAAATCCTGTGATTGCTTCAGCTTCCTTCCTTGGGAGAATTTCCATCTTCAGTGTGGTGGAGGCCAACAAACTCTTTGAGTTGAGATGAAACAGAGGATAGTCAACGGAAACCAAAACAGAATTCGCCTACAGAATATCAGAGTGAAGTGTGCTTCATAGAGAGAATCCCTGAGATCTGTTGAGGATTTGCCTAGAGTGTTCAGCAGATTATTGATCAGTGTGTACATATGAGGAAACTACCTGAGGCCAGGGAAAGGAATAGTGTCTCATGTTCATATAGAACAAGAAGATAGTACCTGTTCTCACTGGCCACACAGGGAAGACTCATAATTTGTAGGGCAATGGGGTTGAGTACTCAGATAGGTCTTAACCTCAGTAGTAGTGAATGATTTGCCTTAAACTGAGCACTCATAACTGCAAGACCCAAATGGATCAAACTGTTTCCAGGCTACTTTACTTTGTTTTATAACAAATTCTGAGAATATTTATAAGAATACAGAAAAAGTCCAGAACCCAACGAAGTGAAATTCACAATACCTGGCACCCATTTAGTGAACGATTATGAGGCGTACAGGAATGAACCAGGGATACACAATCCATAATGAGACGAATAAGCAATCAATTTGAACTAATTCAGACTGACACAGGTATTAGAATTAACAAACAAGAACATTAAAAGTGTTATAACTGTATTCCTTGTGTTTAAAAAGTTACATAGAGACACAGAAGATAGGAAACATACAAAAATCTAAGTTCTAGAGATGAAAACTACAATCTTTTCAATGAAAAGTACAATGGATGGTATTAACAACAGATTAGATGTTGTAGAATATTAGTGGACTAGAAGACATAGTAATAGCAACTATTCAAAATGAAACAGAAAAAGAATTTTTAGTAATTATGAAAAGCCTGTCAGAGTGAACAATGGAAAATTTTGTCATAATGTATTTTTAATTGGTTCCTTGGGTGGGGGGAGTAAAATATTTTTGAAGAAATAACTTGTAAAATTTGAAGTCTGTAGATCCAAGAAGTTTACTGAAACTAAATTTCAAGAAGTATGAAAAACCAAACCACATCATAATCAAATTGCTCTCAGCCAATTAGAAAAATCTTAAAAGCAACTGGGAAGGGAAAATACATGTTATTTCCAGAAGACTAAAGATAAGGATGGCAAATTTCTTGTCAGAAAGAAGACAAATGGAAAGATGGTTGAGCAACATTTAAAAAGTATTTAAGGAAAAAATATATAATCTGTCAGCCTGGAAGTCTATGCTCAGTGAAAATATCTTTAAAAAATAAAGACTTTTAGACATAACAAAAGTTGAAAGAGTTTTTTACCAACAGAAGAAATGTTAGACGAAGTCATACAGGTACAGGGAAAATGATACCAGATGGAAATGTAGATCTACAAAAAGGAATGAAGAGACTTGGAAATGATAACAGAGAAGATTTTTGTCTTGTTTTATATATATATCTTTAAAAGATAATTGTTCTTAAAAGATAATTGTCAGGCCCTGGCTGGTGTTGCTCAGTGGTCAGAGTATCCATCTGCACTTGATTCCTTGTCAAAGACACACACCTGGGGCCCTGGCCGGTTTGGCTCAAAGACACACACCTGGGTTGCAGGTTTGGTACATGGCCCTGGTTGGGGTGTGTGCTGGAGGCAACTAATCTGATGTGTCTTTCTCACATTGATGTTTCTCTCTTTCTCACTATCCCTCGCTCCCTACTTCCCTTCTCCTCTCTCTCAAAATCACTGGAAAAAATATCCTTGTGCAGATGAACAACAACAAAAGATAATTGTCAGTTTAAATCAAAACAATAACTGTATTATGGTATTTATAAAATATATATAAATAAAACATGTGATGGCAATAGCGTAGAAGCCAGGAGGAGAGAAATGGAAGTATACTAATGTCAATTTCTTATTTTATACCTGAAGTGTTATAATATCACTTGAAGGTACACTAGAATAAGTTAAAGGTATATACTATAAGCCCTAAAGCAACCAAACAAAGAGTTTTGCTAATAAACCAATGAAGAGAGAAAATGAAATCATTGGAAAAAAAACCAAATAGTCCAAACGAATGAATGGGAACAAAAAACAGAAGAGATATATAGCAAGATGATAGATTTAAACCTAGCCATATTTCTAGTCACTTTAAATGTAAATGGTCTAAACACCCCAATTAAAAGACAGAGATGGTCAGATTGGATTAAAAAAGCAACATCCAACTATTTGCTGCCTACAGCAAACTCACTTTAATTATAAAGCCACAAATAGGTTAAAAGTATATACTATATTAGTTTAAAAAAAGATGGAATGACTATATTAATATCAAACAGTAGATTTTAGAACATAGAATATCACAAAGAATAAAGATCGTTTGATTATAAGGGAGAAAATCCAAAAGGCATAATAATTAACATTTATGTATGTAATAACAGAGCTTTGAAAATCAGTGAAGCAAAGAACTGCAAGGAGAAATAAAGTCACAATCATAGGCAAAGATTTCAATACCTCTCTCAAGATTAGAATAGGTATATAGAAAATCAGTAAGGGTAGAGAAGACTTGGATGGCACCGTCAACCAACTTGATTCGGTTGACATTTCTAGAACACTCATTAAGAACAGAGATTGCTATTTCTAGAACACTCATCCATTAACAGTGCAATGCACATTCTTTTCAAGTGCATATGACACATTTGCAAAGATAGACTATATTCTGGGTCATAAAATAGTCTCAATGTATTTAAAAGAACTGATGTCATGCAAAGTATGTTTTCTGACTATAGTAGAATTAAATTGGAAGTCAGTAACAGAAAGATAACTAAAAAAATCCTCAGCATTTTGAAACTAACACACTTCTAAATAGTGCATGGATCATAGAAGAAATCAAAGGGAAATTAGAAAGTGTGTTGAACGAATGAAATGGTAACAACAGAATCTGTGGGATACTGCTGAAGCAGTATTAAAGGGACAATTATAGCACTAAATACATGGATTAGAAACAGAAAGGACTTAACTCAATGGCCTCACCTTATGAAAATAAAGAGAGCAATTAAATTTAAAGTAGAACAAAATAAATACTAAAGACCAAAGTGAAAACCAACTTAAAATCAACAATAGAAAACAAAAATAATGAAGGAAAATCAAAGGAAATAAAAGTTGGTCCTTTGAGAAGATTAATAAAATCTCTACTATCCTAATTAGGAACAAAATAGAGATAGTATAGATTTTCAGTATCAATAAGAAGAGATTCAGAAGATATAAAAACATGTAAGGGGAAATTATGGACCACCTTATCTCCATAACATCAATGACTTGGATGTAACTGGAATACTTCTTTATGTATTTTGAAATTGAAATTATAGTTGATATATATTACTTATATGTATATTATATATAGTATATCTATGTTGAAATATAAATTGTAGATAAAATCTTTTTATAAAGAAAACTCTAGACCAAGATGGCTTCACTGGTGAGTTCTATATAACATTTAAGGAGGAAATAATACCAATTCTACATTAATTTGTCCAGAAAACCAAAGAAGAGATAATACTTCTCATTTATTTTTTGTTTTTCTGTGTGTGTGTGTTTTTTTTTAAACCTCACCCGAGGATATTTTTCTGTTTATCTTCAGATAAGAGTGGGAGGGGGAGAGAGAGAAACATCGATGTGAGAGGGACACATCGACTGGTTGTCTCCCTCACGACCCCGGCACGACCCCGACCAGTGCTGGGGACCAAACTGCAACTGAGGTACGTGCCCTTGATCAGAATTGAACCCGCAGCTCTTTGGTCCAGGAGCCAACCATCTAACTGCTGAGCCAAACCAGCCAGGGCTCATTTATTTATTTTTTAAATTCTCTCTTGAGGATATGTTTATTGACTTAAGAGAGAGATGAAGGGAGTGAAACATCAAAGGTTTGTCTCCCATACATGCTCCAACTGGGCTCGAACCTGCAACGTTTTTGGTATATGGGACAGTGCTCCAAACTACTGAGCCATCTGGCCGGGGCTCCATCTCATTTTTTACTCTGATATCAAAACTTGAGAAAGACAGTAAGTACAAGAAAACTACAGACCAGTGTCTCTTATGAACATAGATGAAATTCTAAACAAAATTTTAGCACAGTGTCTTCAATAGTATTATAAAAGATAATAACCATGACCAAGTGCCATTTATTTCAGTAATGTAAGATTGTTTTAACATTGAAAATCAGTCAATTTGCTATGTTAATAAACTAAAAAGAAAAAAAAAAACCAGTGTAATCATCTTAATTGATGCTGAAAGAGCAGGTGACGAAAGTCAACATTTGTTCCTGATAGTTTTTATTAGCAAAGTATGAAGAGAAGAGGACATTCTCAACCTGACAAACCTATGGCTAACATCCAAATTTTTGTATATGGTTGACATTTCCATTATAATAAGTTTTTTTTTTTTTAAGTGAAAATAAAATATTAGGATTAGTGAGAAAATTGTTTCATACATATTTGTAGATATGTGAAGGATCATGGAATCATATTAGAACTAGAATGAGCCTTCAAGATGATACTAATTCAAAGTGTTTATTTTTCATAGGTCAGTATGGAAATCCTTTAACTAAATACATTAGACATTATGAAGGATTATCTTATGATGTGGATTCATTACACCAAAAACACCAGCGTGCCAAAAGAGCAATTTCACATGAGGAGCAGTTTTTACGTCTAGATTTCCATGCCCATGGAAGGTGAGTAAATTTATTGCTGACTGTGTTTGAAGTTCCCCTATATTCAATCTAAGTTAAAAGAAGAAATTTACATCCTTTATTGACCACCTCTAATGAAAGATTCTATTTAGAAATTCAGCCTACACTGGAATTTGGTATATAAATTAAAAAAAAGTTTTCTTATAAAATGAATTGCACTTTTTATATTGTTAAGGAAACAGTCATTTAAATATTTTTAAATTTATGAATTGGATCCTCTATTGCATTATTAGAGGATATGTCTTTAAAGAAGATTTTATGTTCATAGTTTTCCACTACTTTTTATGTGTTTTATGGTCAATATATCTGTCTGCTGGTACCAGTAGTGAAGGTAGCTGGTTATATGCCATTGAATAAGTAATTTAATACCTCACAAATTCATTTTCATCAGTTCTAAAATGACAACTTGTAGATAGATTATCTACTGTACTGCTCAATTCTCAGACAGATTGTTAAGGGAAAAAGAACAGGGAGCCAAGGGGGAGAGGTAAAAATCACAGTTATTTAGTGCTTGTATTCCAGGTACATAGATACTTTATATGTATTTTCTTATTTAATCCCCTCAACACCCAAACAAGATCAATATCTTTTTTATATCTGAGGAAACTAAGGGTCAGAGGAGTTAACGTCTTTAAAATTACACAGTATAGATTTGGCCCAGTCCTGGCTGTCTCAACTCCCCAGTTTTTTCTGTCTGTCACGGATACTTAGGTACAAAATCTTAAGAGTATTCTTTGTCAGACTCTTACTTGCCTTCTATAATAAGTAAATCTTCTCCTTTTGTACTTTTTTTTTTACTGGTGTAACCTTGATTTATTATTCACCTCTTAATAGGTTTCCCCCCTTCCACTCCATTTATCATTAAAGTTATCCTATGTATTGCTATAAGAAGACTCTTCCTTAAATGCTTCCTTTTTAAAGCTTATTGCTTTAAAATCTTCAATTAACAATTATTAGCTAGATTTCTTAACTTGGCTTTCAAGGTTCTCTGTAAATTAATTCTAGTCTTTTATTCTAAACTTACTCCACTTCCCACATTGTCTGTTTCACCCAGAACGATCTGATTGCTGATTAAACCATGTACAGTTTGTTCTGTGTCACTTATCTTAAACAATTTTCATCACCTTTTAATGCACAATTCAAGTCCTACCTCTTTGGAGTTTTACCTACACCTTCCTTTGGACTTTTAAATTGCTTATCTGTATAACTGTCATTATATTAGTTCTCTCTTCCTTTTCATGCTTGTATTTCTTGTTTATTTTTCTATAACTGTGTTTTTATTCCTCACAGTCAGAGAACCTGGCTGCTATTTAATGTGTCCATCATTTGCACTTATAGTATAGATAGACGCTTAAGAAAAATTTTGATGGATGAAATATCAGATAATAAGAAATAATATGAAACAAAAATATTTTGTACATGGAAATGTATTACTTAAATTAACTTATTTTTCACATGACAAAGTAATGATCATTGTAGAAAAAAGTACTTAAGTTATAAAACCTCCTACTTTGATTTGAAGGAGAGAAAATTATTCAATTCAGAGTCTGTTTTCTGGATAAAAATTTTAGTGGCAGCATTTCATGTAAATGTTTATGACCCTTAACTTCAGATATTTTTAAATTATTCATTCTTTTTTAGTACCGTGAAATAATATGCTATCATTAAGCCTCCCTAAGTTTCTAGCTACCACCTCAAAATAAATTTAATGCTATATTCCAAATATGGTGTGACTGCCAGAAGGAAAAGTTTAGATTCTAGCTGCCTTTGGTTTGGATACCACATTCCTGTTACATCGTTAGATTTTTATTTGACCTATCATATTGAATATGTGACAAAACTAAATGCCTACCTCCTTTTGTTTTTTTTGTTGTTGTTGTTTTGCCTGTGTGTGTGTGTGAGAGAGAGAGAGAGAGCGCGCGCGCGTGCAAGTGTGTGAGTACATGATGTCATCCAAAAAATACTGACTGCTAGTTATACATTAGCTAGTTTAGGCTGTTGGTTATAGAAAAAGATACCAAATGTAGATCTTACTGGAGCAGCAAGCAATGTGTAAGTCATTGTATAGGGGGGAAATGTGATATGATGCTTTACCGATAAAATGCTACAATATTCAAAGATGAGAGAGAACTTGTGGCTGAGGCATAGGATCTGGAACTAGGAGATCGTGAGCTCTGTATTAGTGGTCATCTTAGGTACTTTGATCAGAAATTTGTTTAACACTACATTTTCTAGGAATAGATCCATATTCAGGTATTTTATTTTGTTGTCTCAGTTAATATACAACTAAGGTTCATTGGGACAGAGGACATATGCATGTAAACAAAGATAATAAAATTGATAAATACTGTTAATTGACATACTTATCGCTAAGTGAGCCTAGAAGAAGAGTGCTCTTGGGGCATATCACTCAGGCATCCCATTTATCAGAACTTATCAAGTAAAGCAATTTTTAAAATTGAGAAAACGGTTTCTTAATTTTTTAGCAAACCTAAGATGTGTTTTTATCCTAATACTTATTATCAAGAATGTGGCCCAGATAACCTGTAAAAGGCATAAATATTTCCTTTGACGGATCCTGACTGGAGTTGGGTTAGTCTGGAAGTGTCTTGAACTTTTTAAATTTATTTTATTATTATTATTATTTTTTAATCCTCATCTGAGGACATGTTTCTGTTGATTTTAGAGAGAGGAAGGAAGAGAGAAATATCAATCGGTTGCCTCCTTCACTTGCCCTGACTGGGGATCAAACCTGCATTGCAATCTGCCCCAATGGGGAATCGAATCCATGACCCTTTGGTACATGGGATGATGCTCCAACCAGCTGAGTCACACCGGGTAGGGCTATTTTTGTCATATAGTAGAAGAAACCAAGGGCAATGTTAACTCTGTATGCAGACCAGCACGCTTTGACAAGCAGAGGTAAGAGTCCAGGGAACATAAATGGATGTCAACTCAAAAAGAAGAGCAAGAGAACACATTTGAATTATGGAAAATGCTATTTTTTTAATGTAATTTTAAAAATTGATTTTAGAGTGAGGGGAAGGTGGCAGGAGAGGGAGAGAGAGAGAAAGAAACATCAATGATTGAACATCAATTGGCCGCCTCCTGCATGCTCCGCCCTGGGGATTGGGCCCATAACCTGGGTATGTGCCCTGACTGGGAATTGAACTGGTGACCTCTTAGAGTATAGGTTGATGCTCAACCACTGAGCCACATTAGCTGGGCCAAAAATGCTATTGTTAAGAGTGTGGAAAAACAAAATTATGAAAAATAGTGACTTGGTAGTTAAATCTTTCCCAACAAAATTGCCTAAAGGAAAATGCTATTTATTTAGTACCTAGTTTATATCTCATACAGTGCCCATTAGCATATATTATTAGTATTAGTTTAAGTACATTTCACACTGCTCTTTGCCTAAGCCGTGGATTTTTTAGGATATGATGTATTTTATTCGTGCTTGATTCTTCTTCACACAGAAATGAAAAGCTTATAAATATGATTTTAAAAAATCTGAGAGAACACTGGCTACTTGGATTACTTAGTGAATCAAGAAAAAACAGCCCTGGCCGGTTTGGCTCAGCGGTTGGAGCGTCGGCCTGCGGTCCAGAGAGACCCGGGTTCGGTTCCCGCTAAGGGCGCGTACCTCGGTTGCAGTTTGTCCCCGGCCCTGGTTGGTAGTGCGGGTGGCAGCCACTCGATGTGTCCCTTCACATCGATGTTTCTCTCTCTCTCTTTTCCTCTCTCTCCCTCCCGCTTTGTCTGAACAAAAAATGGAAAAATGTCCTCAGGTGAGGATAAAAAAAAAAAAGAAAAAACAAGAGCTGAGTTGTGTTCATGTTAATTCTGTATTTAAGAAGCTAAGTTAAGAGCTGATGATTGCTCCGAGTTTAACTTTTTAGATATGATTTTAACAGGAAATATGTTTTATTTCACAGGTTTTAAATCATTAACTAGGCTTTATGTGGAGGAGATTGAATGAGTTTTAAGAAAAACTTAAGCTGAGCTTCCTCCTTCCTATTTTGCAAAGGGAATGGAAGGGTGTAAAAGTGTTTTTCTGACTATTTTTAATTCTTTGAGTACATCGTTTGCTCTAAAATTTGGTCTAAATTAGGCTGCATCTGATAGACTATTTAATGTCAGAATTTCTAGAGTTGGTGACTTAGACAGTAAATGTCAGAAATTGGGTATATGTCCAGTAGTAAAGCCCATCCATCATTTTCCTTAATTGTAAGTTATATTTTATACTTAAATGTGGCATATGCAGTTGGGTCTTTTGTGAAATAAACACTTTAGCTCAGGTGTAATTAGGATTCATTGCCTTGTTTTTTTCTGTTCTCCAAGTGATTAAGCTTCATGATGTAAGTTGCTGCAGTATTTCTTAAAAGTGTAACAAGGTTTTTAAATGTCTAAAGGTTATTTAAATGTGTATCCTATTTCATTATTCCTGAAAATTCTTTTTGTAACTGTGTTGAATGGCTATGTTTAGTTTATCAGATTTATAATATTCTAGTTTGGATTGTTCTATTAAGCTTCAGGGAAATCTTCTTTTGTAGTAGTGATAATTTTGAACTGATAAATACATTTGAAAATTTTTTGGTAATCACATTTACAATTCCTCTTTTAAAAAAATCCTCACTGGAGGATATGTTTACTGATTGTAGAGAGAGAGGAAGAGAGAAACATCGATGGAAGAGAGAAACATCAATCAGTTTCCTCCCGTACTCACCCTGACCGGGGATTGAACCCATGACCTTTTGGTGTACGGCATGAAGCTCCAACTGAGCCACCTGGCCAGGACTACAGTTCCTCTTGGAAATAGCTTCTGAATATTAATTCCTTAGTATCATAACCTTTTCTGTATTATCTCTGAAATCTTAAATTATAATTACTTTGCACATAACATGTCCAAAACTGAATTTAGGATTTCTCCTCAAATTTATAGCAGTTCCCGTATTCCCTATCTCAGTAAATGGTCCCTG